TTCATTCTAAACTCAAACTCTCAGACGCAAATCCTGCAGCTTGGGGTTTACAATTTTGGGGCTTTGCCCTACAGGGAGCTTGGACCTCCGGCTATATTTGACCCGACTGATAGTTGGCATCCTGAAAACGCATGATTATTCCACATCTCAACTTTACAGTCACACATTCAAACCCCTGTCGTCTAACCCAGAGGGGCCATGTACCCAATAATTAGGTACTTGGGATTCGGGTAATAGTGATTATAGTACAGGTTTTGGGTAAGTATATGATTATTAGGTACTTGGACCCAAAGGGGAATAACAGGCTGCAGTCAGCATGCACCATTACTGCAAATCCCAATTACCTCACCCTTGGGCATGGGGGCCCTAGCGTTTGGGAAAAGCAGCGCTCCGCGAATACGACCCCGCACACTACCGTTTCGCGGCCATTCCTGTGGAACGAGGCACGTTGCTTGCCTTGTGTAGAACAGAACTTGGCCTGCGAGCGGTCCGGAGGCTGCCAAAAGTCCACAGAGCCTCATGAGGGACCTTGCAGGATATGGAGAGAGATTCATAATAACCTTTAACTTCAGTATTGCTGTTTTTATACTGTGATCACTGTTGCTATTTGCATTATTCCGACCATGTCTAGTACTCTGAATATTACCGGACCCACGCTATTGCACAGATGAGCACCATGCCAAGGAGTCCTACTTGTTTGTTGCCTTCTTCTCCGTGTCCCAGGTGTTAAGGATGCCGGAACAGAAAGGCTTCATAGCCATAAACTTGTCAACGCCTGCGCTCTGAACCCAAAACCCCAAAGCTCCCAAAGACCAAGGAAGTAGGGCTGAGACTTAGAACTTAGCTACATGGCAGGATGTTTCCGTTGATTTGCTGAGTAAGCCGCTTTTGCCTTCGGGAACGGCCCTCGGCGCCTCATGATTCCTCCTCAACATGTCCCCCCCTAAACCTTAAACTTTAGACCCCAAACCCTCAAGCCTATAGTCCCCCTTAAGTAGATAGAGTATGGGGTATATGGGGACCTGATAATTATATACCCAAAGACATATTCTATCTACTTAAGGGGGACTATATCCTGTTCCCAGGTTGCTGGGGATCATAAGACACAAAAATCCAGATTGTGGTATTGGGGCCCTAGTGCTCACTATTTGGGTGCTTGGACCCTTTGGGGGATGCGCCAGGATAATCTCAGACCTAATGCACGCCAACAGGACGTGGATCTAGATAGCATACGTAGCCTAGTCTGAACTAAGACGGGCTGGGGGTTAGGGGTGCAGGGTGTAGGGCTTCAGGCGGACATGACTACTTGATATTCACAATTGTTGTCCTGGCAGAGATGCATATCTGCATGGTTCGCTTCAAAGTTTTCTTGTGCGGGTTGTGGTGCCGTTTGTGGGAACCGAAGATCGCTTTGTGTTGTTAGAGCATATTCCGTCTGCGCTTTTGTGAGTGGCTTTGCTGTTTTGCCAGCTGTAATATGACTTTCTACACAAAGGCACCTGCTTTGCTGTGCAAGTTTGGAGTCTTTCAGGTTTGGAAAATTACATACTGCATATATAGCTTGAGGTATGACAATCATCAAGCATGCCTTTCCGATTATCTAAGCAGCACGCAAATGCTCGAATCCTGTGATCCTGCGTGCGGAGCCACAAGATATAAAACCCCGAAGTCACCCTGTAACCCTCGCTACCCACAGTTTTATGAGTTATACCTATTCATGGGGGGGAGGTAGGCATAGGGAGTTATTACTGTTAAGAATTGTAGGTACTTGGGGTCACAGAATTAAACCTGAACGCGACTGCGACTTAAGACCCGGATCTAATTAGGGCCTGGCGTTGTTTTTTGTTTTGTAATTTTGCTTTCACGGCCATGATTGCAGCATTTGGGCTGAATCAGACACATGGGAATCCTGCAGGGCCATGACCTTTGATCAGCATCATTATCCTCACTACAATTACTGTTACCGTTACTATTACTATCAATATTACTAGTACTAGTATTAGTACTGTTAGTACTACTATGATTACTGCTCTTATGAAGAAGGAGTTGTAATACCCGGCATATCAGGCTGAATGTGGAGAAGTGCTCAGGCTTGGCAGGGTCTCTGCCGCTTAGGTTGTTGAGACAGAAGAACTTCTGGGCCCCAGGGTTTATGGTTTGGGGTTTAGGCTCCAGGGTTTAGGGTTTAGGGTTCACGGCTCCGGGGCAGCAAAGATGTCGACCTGCGACATGTTCATCAAGCTCATGATGTCGCCTGGCTTACTTGAAACTCGAGTCTAAGTCTGTGGTTAGAAGCATGAATGTAATACATATGGGCTTGGGTAGTAACCCCGCTGTCAGATTTATACAAGCGCGGTCCTGTTTGTTGCTTCCCTTGCAATATGATAACCAATAAACAAAAAAGGATAAGGTTTGCAAGTCCAGTAGCATTAGATAGTTCTGGCAGGCCACCCCCGTTAAATGATCACCAATAAAATCACCGATAAGGTTTGAAGCCGGTTTGAAATAGGATAAGAAGAGTGGCCACAGGGTTTTCACGTGAGCAGGTATATAAGGATCCCAGGGTTAAGGCCCGGTACCAGGGGCCCAAGGTTTCAACCAACCCTGAAACTTGAAATCTAAACCCTAAGCCTACACCTAAAGCCTGAACCCTAAACCCTAAAACCCAAGCCCTCAACCCTAGAACCTGAATTCTAAAACCTAAACCCTAGAACATGAACCCTGAACCCTAAATCCTAAACCCTAGGCCGTCTGCGTAGGATGCAGGGGCCTGGATCTAAAGTTCAGGATGACCCTGTTTTTTCACATGGTTCTCAGTGGGGACTAAAAGAATATAAGCCCTACATGAGCTATAGTCTAGACTCTTTAAAGGGGAATCATATAGGAGAGTATCATAAGAGGTATGAAGGTGGGGGCACTAGGAGTTAGACTATAGCTCACATAATTCCCATATTTAGGGTTTAGGGTTTAGGTAGGGGATGGTTCACAAGCCAAAGCTTCGCGTTTTTCTGTTGGGCTGTACTATAAACATGGAAATCGTTTCCAGGAATCCAACAAAGACCCAGTTGTTGCAGCAGCACAGAACCCTGAACCCTCAAACCCTAAACCCTAAAACCCTAAAGCCTAAACCCTGGGTTATGAGATGTTGTGAGGTTACGGAATGAGTTTATCAGCTTTCGGGCATCTTACCTTCAAACTACCCCAGAGGGCCCATGTACCCAATAATCAGGTACTTGGGATTTGGGTAATATAGGGATACTGGAAAAGAAAATGGAAACTACAGGGATTATGGGGATTATATAGGGTTTCTATAGGGATAATGGAAAATAAAATGGAAACTGCTATAGTATATGGGGGTACAGGTTTTGGGTAAGTATATGATTATTAGGTACTTGGACCCTTAGTAGGGTACAAGACACGAAAAGCGGCATCATAGAAGCGAGAAACCATAGGTTTAGCTTTACAATGTGCAACTTTGTGGCAAACTTCGGAGTTTTGGTTCTGAATCTACTCTTCCATGGCCCGAAGCCGGGATTTCTGAAGCTGAAGTTTTGAAAATTCTCATGTGTCAGTCTCTCAATATTGGGGCCTTTATAACCCTAAACCTTAAACCCTAAACCTTAAACCCTAAACCCTAAACTCCCTAAACCTTAAACCCTAAAGCTTAAACCCTAAACCCTAAACCCCTAAAGTAGGCGCAACCTAGGAACATAGAGCTAAGGTGCTCCTTTTTCAGCTTCATTCAGAACCGAGACCCCGAAAGAGG